CCGCGCCCAGCCCTGCCCTATGGCTTCCCCGGCGGCGGCGGGGCCCGGCGCCGCGCTGCCCCCGGGCGCGGCCCGGCGCGATTTCTACTGGCTGCGTTCCTTCATCGCCGGAGGTGGGTGCTCTCTTGCGGGCCTGCCGCGGGAGGGGAGCAGGGGAGCCGGGCCGGGGGCGGCGCGGCGCGGCGGAGGTCGCTTCCGTGTCAGTGGCCCCGGTGCAGCTGCTGTCCGGAGGGTCGTCCCCTGGGGAGGCGGGGGGCCCCCTTTTTCCCCCAACGTGCTAACGCAGGTGACTCGGTACAGGCGCGCGTGTGAGGAGCAGCGAAGAGCCCCGGGTAGTCGCTGGTTAAGGAGCCCAAACCCTCGCTGGGGCGCTCGGGGAAGGCGGGTTATCCGTGTCCCGAGACTGTCGCGACGGCTGTTGTCCAGATTGAGGTGGCGTGAAGCGGGGACGACACGGGACGGCAGCCTAGCGAACACAACCCCACGTTATTAACCTCTTGGAGAAAAAAGCCCGGTTATTCTTGCCGTAGGGTGTTGTCCCAGCTGCCTGCTTTGCAAGGGGGTAGGAAGATGTTCTGTTCAAAAATGTAAAAGTTTTCGCGTCCCGCCGCACTCGCCGTAGGATCCCGCTCCCCGAAGTAGCGCGGGGTGCGGTGCAGCCGGCTCCTCCGGGGCGAGCGGCGAGGGCTGTTTTCCGCAGAAGGGAGGGAGGAAGCGGGGCGGAGAACTCGCTTCAGTAACTTTCTCGGAAGGCTTCCGCCGTGGGTTCAGCAGCTGAGAGAGAGGGTGGCCCGGGTGTTTGTAATCGGGAAAAGTAGCTTAGGCGTTTCATTAAGGCTTTAACGGTTTTGTAAGGTGCTTCCAATAGAGGCTGTTTACTCGTCGTCAGGGCTTTTTCCAGTTCCTAACCGAGTTTCTCCTCCCCTATTCCATTTACAAATGCATTAGAAAAATCCCTTCTTTATCTGCCGACCTAAAGAACTTTGGCATCCCGTCACTTTTCTGTTTCCCCTCTTGGAAAGGTGTTGCAGGATGTTGTGCCAAAACAACTACTGCACCGCTGGATCGAGTAAAGATTTTGCTGCAAGCTCATAACCACCATTACAAACATCTAGGTAAGATGGCTGCTGTGTGTCTAATTTTTGGTTTTAAATGCAATGTGTATGGTTTGGGTATGTTGATATACTCAGCCACGTGGCTGATTAAAAAAAAAGGCGCTAATGAGACAGAAGGTCAGATCTGTCTGGTCAGTCTCTGTGCCGTGTTTTGTTAGCGTTTAAAAAGAAAAACAAAGCCCTGCGCGAGTAAGTTGTGGTAGTGGTTGATGTGTTAGAGACTGAGATGTCAGAATAATCCTCAATAAGGCGTATAAGAGCTAGGCTTGATCTTCCCCTTACGGAAGCCAGCAGGAGATTGGTAAAATTCTTATTTTGTGTAAAAACTGTCACCGCTGGTAACTGCTGCAGTCTGCTACAGTGATTGCCAGTTCCCAGAGGCTGTGGGAATCGGTGCTTTTCAGAACTTGGTAGCCCTCACGGGGGCTGCTGATTACAAGACAGTGACCGACAAATCCCGCAAGACTCACGTGCGCTTACGCTCGCAGACAGCAGCGCGGTTGACATGAATTGAAGGTAGAAGTGGATTTGTGCTTGCCATAAGGTGCAGGTGATCTGTATTCCGGCATCTGTGTTGCATCATGGTGAGAGAATAAACTCTCAGTTGTCAGCATGTTCAGAACTGTTCTCTGTGAGGCTGTAACAGTGCCCTCTTGTGCATAGTATTTGAGGTTTTTTATGTCATATGTTCTTGAAATATGTCATAACTTATGTTCCAAAATTTAAGTGTGTTACAATTGTCAAGAAAAAAAAATTGAGTTGGTTAATTTTACATTTAATAAAAGTTTGGAATTTTTAACTTAGGCACTAAAGATCATTTTTTTTAAAGGCTGGAAAAATAAATCTTGAACCAAAATTCAATGGCTGTATATTCACTTCACTGTACCAAAAAGGCAAGCACATGTAATGTGGTATTTTGCTAACACAGTCATATAAGTGTGCACTCAAATCTGTAGTCTAAGAATTGAAGGCTGAAATAACTGGTTTGACTGATATTTTAAATCCTTATTTTCTGTTTGCTTTGTACTGTGCCATAATTGGCAAGTAAAATCTTATATTCTTCCCTATTTAGGGTGTTAGATATGATGTGCTTATTCGAAATGTGTCTGACTTGAATGCATGTCCTTGTTACATGTAGGCAAAAAAGAAAATTACATGGATGAGATACCTGTAAGTGCAGGGAAGCAGTGGATTAGTTCTTCGAAGTCCTCACTAAGTGTTTTTACTGCCCTTGCTCTGTGGAGATCATGCCACATGGATTTTGGAGCATGTGTTTTAAGAAATAAGAACAGTAACTACTCATTGCAGGGTAGAGAAAAATTCTAATCATGGCATAAGTATTTTCAGAGGCATGTAATAAGCATGACATCTTAAAAATACATTTAATGTTGTATTCTTAGAACTACAGAAACTAATTAATATTTGTTTTATTTAAACTTCAAATGAAAGTTTGTCAACTACTCTTTTTTTCTGCCTGAAAGTAAGATAAATGTGTAAGCCTTTTTCATGTTCAGCTCTTATATTATTAACTAGTCGCATATGAATGAAAACTGTTTAACTGTTGCAGTTTATTCCTTTACAACAACAAAACAAGTCAATTTCGTAGCAATTGTGCGTAACTAATAATATGTTTATAATAAAACTGTAGGTTTTGCCCAAACTTTGTGTGATCTTGCATTGTTTCCCACCTATTAAAAGGGAATAGGATTGCTTCTTGTTGCAACAACTCTGGGACAAGAAGTGTGAGATGTTTAAGTTGTAAGTAATGAGAGTCTTAAACTTGTTTACTTAATTTCCTCAGTGATGGCATTTAACCCGTAATTTAGCATGTAGCAATATTAGATTGTTTTCCCATGGTTTAAAAGTATTTATTTATTTATTTTGAATTGACTGAATTGCAAGTCAACCAGTTTCCATCCTTCTGTTGCTAGTATTAGCTTCTGTGGGTGGATAGTATCATTGGCAACAGGATTGCTTGCAGTCCAGGCAAGTCATGGGGCCTGAATGCATGAATTCAGAAAGAGGTCCACTGAGTGTGGGAGGTGAGAAAGCTGATAAAACTATACCTTAAACCTCCTCCTTCTGGAAATGTTTGGGCATTGAAAGGGGATTTTCCACTCTCCATAGTTATATGAGCAGCATGATCCGGCCTTAGTTCTATGCATACTTTCTTACTGTCAGTAATATTTGCTTGATTCCCCCCCCCCTCCCTCCAGTGTAATTGTTAAATACCTCTTTTTGTATTGCTGGCAGGAGTGTTTTCTACATTGTGTGCTGTCCCCAAAAAGGAAGGTTACCTTGGGCTGTATAAAGGAAATGGGGCAATGATGATTAGAATCTTTCCATATGGCGCAATTCAGTTTATGGCATTTGACCAATATAAAAAGGTAGTTGAATTTATTTTGTTTTCCTTTTCTTTTTTTCTGCCTACAAAGCATACAGATTCTTTAAGTGATCGAAACTAACACTGAAACTTTTGTATCTTCTTAATTAGCTGCATGTCTTTTGGGTAAAGGCAACAGTGCAACTTTTAGCAGTGTTGCTTAAGGAAAAAATTCCCACTGATTTTTGTACCTTTGTATTGTTGAGAATAATAGGTTTTTTTTTAATGAAAGAAGAAGGTAATCTAAAGTCTGCTGCTATTTGTATTGCTATAAGCTAGCCCTTTGTGAATAATATAGGAACAAAATGTAAAATGGAGATTCTTTATTTATATTGTGTTGGGATTCTTAGTACTTGATGGGTGGAATAACTTAAACTTGAAAGTCTGTCTGGATATGACTGTTATATTTGACCTGATGAACGGCTATGTCAGGCTCTAGATAAAAATGATCTGGAAGAAAAAATGCTCATTTCAGGGTCCCGCAAGGTTTTCAAATTCCTTTCTGCTCTCATGGATTTACTCTTTCATAATAAATACATAATAAATCCCTGCAACATCTTTTGGGGGTCAGGTGTTAGCATGAACATGTTTTTGAACATTGCTTATATGTGGTGAAAGATACCATTTTACTGTTAGCAATGAGGAATTCTGTGTTTGAAAGGTCAGATTTAGTACCCAGTGAAGTAAATTGCATGATCTTTACTGAAGACAGTGAGATTGAAATTGTGATTGCCTTCCCTAAAGAGCAAATTTCAGAAGGCTAATACAAAGAAATAGCTGTAATGAGTTTCATATGTTCTTTTTTGTGTGGTGTAATCATAAATGCTGTTGATCTATGCTTGTTTTATGTTGTGTTGAATAAAAGACTGCATGCCATGCTTTATAATGAAATGATTTATGAATCTGCAAATTTCAAGAAACTGTTTAGCATCGTAGCAGTTTCTTTTATGTATTAATTGACAACAAACATTCAAGATGTTTTGCAGGAATGTGTAAAAGGAAAAAAATCTTAAAGAAGGAAGATATGAAATTATAATATTTCTGGCAGAAACTGCTTCTTAAATAGTCTCAGTTATTTGATAGAAGCCTGGAAACTAATTTTTAACTTCCTTCCAGGATGTAACGTAACTTAAGAAGTTCTTGCTCTCAAATGCTTGTCTGATTTCTCTCTTTTTTTTTTTTAATCCAGTTAAAGTCTTAAAAATATCTTTATAGGAGTACATTTCACGTGCTGTGCATGGAAGAAAAATTTACTCTTCTCAAATGTGTAATTTTTCAACTTTGCTCAGTGTCCTTTGCTCCCTATCATGCAACAAGGATAGTATTCCATTTGCCTTGTTTGACACACATTAAAGATAACTAAATAAACAATTAATCTAGTTTCTGAAGTAAACACTACAAATACTTTCAATTAATCGTTCTGCCTTGTTAGTAGAATTTTAGCACTTTCATGTTTTTAATAAGAAATTGGTAACAGCAGCAATGTTCAGAAAATTCTTTTAACAGTAATTAAGTGCTCTGGTTTGAATTTGTAGTGTTGTAAACTTCTTGGAAACAGCTACAGAGTTTGCATTAATGTGCTAATAAACTGTGTGATGTACTTCCCTGTATTTTTCTGATATACGATTATCGTAAATGTTCTGTATTTTGTAGGTAATAAAGAAGCAACTTGGGATTTCAGGGCACGTGCATCGATTAATGGCTGGATCCATGGCAGGTATGGTTTTGTACTTGGATTTCAGACATTCCTTTTGCTGAAAAGTTAATATTTGTTTAGAGAATGATTTGATGTGTTTTCAGGTCAAACTGTTCCAAATTTGTATTAAGCAAAAATACTAGTAAATGGTTAATGTAACATAGTTGCCTAATTGAAAACTGCTTGTCTAACAGTGTTCTTTAAAATACCTTTCTTCAAGCATTGAATTCTGTGCTATGTTGTAAAGCGCACTTTTTATAGTGTTTATTACGGCTTTTAAAAAATGAAAAATCCAGTGTCATCAGATGAAGTATAAAGATGCAGGGTTTTGTAGAATTGGCTCATCAGCCTGCCTGCCATTGCCACTAGGTTGAATATAAGCCCATAGAAATAGAGAGAACTGCAGCTCCTTAAATGGGTGAATTCTTTGGATTTGCCAGGAATGTCTATACTTTTCAACATCCAATGCAGGATTGTCACAATGATACTCTTTAGATCATATGTGTGAATGTTAAAAACCAACATTTATCAGTTAGTGCAATAGCAGTAGAAAAGCCCATTTGTAAACTGCCAGTATATAGTATGATTATACATTTCTATTTTCCTCTTGTTAGTCATTCAGCCAAAAGTAGCCAAGAAAAAACAGGGAAAGGTAAGTAATAGTGGACTGATTTTTAATTGAGGTGGTTCTTCATGTGCTTTTACTTTGTAAAACAGGCTTAATACTGTATAGTGACAGTCCTTAAATAGTTATGACATGAGTATTAATATTTAGCTTCTTTTGGAATAAAAATACTGTGGTTTTTTAATACTGCCTTTAGTTAAACTAGGAAGACCTTCTGAAAGTATTTTGGCTTTGCGTGCCATCAGAGGAAAAGGAAAGAGAATGAAATGAAACAATTCAAAGATCCTGAAAACTGGCAAAACCCATTTGGCAAGATATGTTCCAGAACTTGGCTGACTTTCTATCTGAAAGAAGTGGAAAAAAATACATAGTTTTTTTTTTTTTTCTTTCTCCACACACTCCCCTCCCCTGGCTTTAACTGTACTAAAGAACACTTTTTTTCTTTTCCCCACCAGAAGCTTATTATTAGCTTTTTTGCAGGAGCCTTGTCAGAGACCTGGAACCTGACTTGTGAGGCACTGTGAAAACACTGAATAATCAGCTTAACTCTGTCAGTGTTGAACATGCTGGAATTCTTTGTTCAGATAAATTAACAGCATCTGGCATTGTTTTAAGCACCTTACTGGTTAAATCTGTTTTGTGCGGTTAGAGTAATAGAAATAAAATTAATATACAGTACTGTCTGGAAACCATGATCAAATGAAAAGCTTTGTGTGGTGCATTTCAGTACAATATACTCAATAGTCTGGTATTGAGAACCCCAGAACTGAGTAGATAAGCTAGACTTCGGTGTGCAGTGAAATGAATACAGCAGTCAGGTATAGAAATAGTATCACATGTGAGTGTCTTACTATTTGTTTACTAGGTGGCATTAACTGCTTTTTGGGATATTAATTAGATAAATAAGAGGGGAGGGTTTATATTGAGTATGCCAAGAAGATGTAGAGAAGGAAGGGGGCACAAAGAAGAGCATAGTGTTTGAAATCTGATACAGAAGTTCTCTAGGTTTGCAAACAAAATAAGACTTTTAAAAGCAATTGGTAATATTACTTGCTTTAACTCCTGTGGCTTAGTTTCTTGTTGGCTCCAGTAAGGGATATTATTCTGTTTCTTCTGAGTTTAAATGACTAAAGGAGATGGTGTGCTACATGAACCCCAACGGTGGTGGAGAGGGGTCTTCACAGTTTCCTGGAACCCAATATTACGCAGTTGAAAATGGATAACCCTTGTTTCCCTTTCCTTTTTTTCCCCCTCTACACCATCTAGCCACACAGCTGTCTGCTTTCACTTCTATGTACGCTACTGATAGTTAAATGTTGCTTATGTCAGTGTTTCCAACATTACTAGCAGTCAACAGACCTGAGTCAGCTTCAAAGTGGTGGGAAACATTTGAGTATCTTCTGTAACTGATAAACAGGATCAAAAGCATATCCACAGGGAAAAACAAGGCAATGGGGATGGGGGTAGTGGAGTGAGAGAAAAGAAAAACCTATTGTAATGCATACATTTAAGGAGGCCAAGCTAAAGTTACTGGGGAAACTTTAACTCTGAATTTCCTGAGTCTTGTGTGATTCAAATTTCAGCTGTAACACCTCATTAACAGATAAATGGTGTATGACTTCTTTTAAGGAAAAACAGAGCTGGGTCTAAGATAGAGAAATCATAGAGGTTAGTGGGGTTTAGGAAACAAAATGATCAAATAACACCTGTATCACAGGATGATTTTGCAAATCTAAATCTTATTTTAGTTTTGTAGTTGAAAAATCTGAATTAAAGCACAGAAATGTGTATTTCCTCCCCTGCACTTGATTAACTTAAAAATAAAAACCCCCAAAAGACTAGATGTTATCTAGAATAAACTCAAGTTCCATGAAACTAATACAGAAAGCATATTTTTGTTTTTATCTTTTTACTTCTAGTAAAAGTGATTGGAGAATAGTACTGATCTCGGATGATACTGCCTGTCTCAATTTTAAATAGTATGTAATTATTAGTTACATATTTGAGTCAACATTTTAAAAGAATCTGTGCTCTTTATTTCTTCAGGTGCAAGTCAGAAAGAAACAATTATATATTGGAGGTCTAGAAATATTAGGACTTGTAAATTAGGCAGTTCCTTAACCTGTCCGATAAATGCTCTTTGTCATGAGCTATTTCTCTGTATGTATAGTTCCTGAAGCTTTGTTTTGTTCAGAAGATTCCTCCTTGATGAATTAATCTTTATACTACTTAAGGGGCATATCTTCTGCAGTTCAAGGCTGTGACTTGTGCTTATCACTTTTTGAACTGTATACCTCTGAATCACCTGGTAGTACTTAAATTGATCTATTGATAAACTACAAAGAGCATGATACAGAAATCATAAAAACTTGCGTATCAGATATGTTTGCAGTACCTAATCTTTGTAAATGTATTTCACTTTTTTTTTCTTGCTCCAGATAGTTTTTTATTTTTATTTTCAAAGAAAGAAAATTACTAAGAATGGAGGAATAATAGGGAAATTGGGAGACAGAGATAAATCCCTATACAGCTAATCTCATTGTTAACTCCCAAAGCCTGGGAAACAAATCAAGGACAGTCTAATTCCTCTTGTGCTTCATTGGCACTAAGTCTCTGTAAAGGTCTGTGTAACTCAGTATCTTGTCCCCAAGAGTGGTCAAAGGTGCTTGAGGACAATTATGGTAAGTGAAGAATGGTCTTTCCCCGACTTCCTTGACTTCTGAGTCAGCATTTGCAATGAAAAAGTCTGCTGTTTTTGAAGAAGTGGTTCCTTAAAGGAGGGAGGAGCTACATTGCCCTATTATGATTATTTCAGATCAGACACTGGGAATTGCAGTAAGTATCTCTTAACTGTTGAGATACTTCCTAATTCTGTTCTGTTTAACCAACTGTGGGAGAGATTTTTGGCTCAGCTCTCATTATTTGGGATGGACTTTGCTTCCTCAAGACAGGGAATTGGCCTTAATATGCTGTGGTCTGACTTCTGATAACACGTAATTTAGGGAGTAGAGATGAGATTAGTAATTTTATAGACTCAGCACAATGACTTTGTGTCCCAAAGCTGGCTGCCATTTCTCCCAGAAAGAATAGTGTCTCTCCTGAGCCCCAAAGGAAATCTTGATCCCTTGTATGTACCTTTTGCTTATAGGAACAGTAAGCAGTAACATGCCTCTCCCAGTTGTTTCAAGAAAGACTATTTTGTGGCTGATGTTAGAAATCCCATTTTTTTCAGAATTCATGGCTACTTTTAAGAAAAAGTAAAAAAAAAAATTACCCTATTTAAATCCTTACTACATATGGTTTCTTTCAGTTCCATCTGTTTTTGTTTTTGTTTTTTTTTTTCAATTGTACTATTTTGGGACTGTGTTCACTAGGTAGTGCATTCACCAAGCTCTTTGTTGGTCTGTTTGCTGGTCTTTGTTCAGAGAATATTCCTGGATACATATCGGAGCATGATTGGAAAGAGAAGGGGGATAAAGTTGTCCGGTTTCTGAAGTGGGATGACTTTCCTGTGAACTCAAGCTCTGTAAAAGCTTTTTTCTCTTTGTTTTATTTTTTTTAAACTGCTTGAATTCATCCATTTTAGAATATTTCTGGACATCTCAGGCAATCCATTAGGAAAAGGCTGTAGTCTTAAGGGATTGCATTTAATAATGTAGGTCAGTGGAAACAGTCCTAAAGTTGCTTTGGTGTTTTGCAGCTTCCAACTTTTGAACCCTATGGGTGAGACAACACCAGAAATAGACAGCAGATGTCTGCTTTTTGTTCAGAGGAATCGTCCAAAATCTCTGAAAGACATGTTTTTGTCTTCTAAAATACATTACTGGTAGGATATTCCAGAAGGCCACAAACTTTACTCTCAGTTGACAGTTGACCAGTGTCAGCTTTTTTGATAGCTCACTTATGGCGTTCATTTTTTTTTTTCCTCCCCATCTAATCCGGATATCTTCTGTCAGATCATTCAGCTTACTCAAGTTGCTTTTTTTTCCTCTCTAGACATAAAAGTTATGAAGAGTTTGTTTGCTGGAGTTGTGTTGTGTTTGGGTTTTGTTGTTGTGGGGTTGTTTTTTTTTTTTGGTTTTGTTCTGTTTTCTTTTTCCCTCCCTCTTGTGGTTTTCTCTTGACCTTATGGAAAGGAGGGGAAATGCTACACCTACAAAAAGAGATATCATTAAAAGACTATTAAAACTTAAGAGGAAGTGGCAATTTCCTGCCAGCATAAAAAGTGTGCTTATCTTCTGTAGGACCAATTTTTAAAGGTGATGTTTAGCTAAATCAGAGCGGCTACTAGAAAACAATATCAGTCACGAAGGTTTTTGTTTTCTTTTTCTCCTTTTCCCAGTTTGTTTTTGTTTTTTTTTTTTAGTGGTGGTGGTATACTACCAGAAAATGACCTCTGTTCTTAGTAAACATTTTTATCTATTCCCTCCAAATCATTTGTCAGCATATGAGTGGTTTACCTCAAAAACTAGCAGTAGGAAAGAATTCATTATTCAGGGAACAGTTAGAGGAGTTGTTCTCTGTACTGGAGTTCTGTTTCCAAAATTACAAGTTGGTCAGCATCTAATCAAGTTTTGAAGCAGTTCATAACTGGATGAATCCTAAGATTTGATTTTTTTGGCATCTTAAGTCTAGAAATAGCTTTTTTGGTCAGAGTTTTAAAACAGAAGTGCTGGTATAACACGAACTATTAAAATGCAGTAATGCAACGCAGTTAAGTACTCTTCATTGGTATGATCCTGACTTTATTTTAAATGTCATTAGAATATATTTAGTATTTTCAGATGCAGTAGATAGATACATGTATCTATATCCAGTAATTGCATCAAATTCTGACACACTGTTTTTGAAATTAAACATGTACATTTGGTGGATTGTTTTTTATTTTTTTTTAAAGATATGGTAGGATTAGGTTTCATCATTGCAATCCAGTAAAGCTGATGTGCTTGACTAGCCTGATGCTAATGAGCCATGGACTTAAATGAGATTGCTCATATGAATACAGTTAGGTCCATAAACCTTTGGAAAATCAAGGCCTAGGTGTGCAGCTTCAGTGAACACCAAGTATAAACATAAATGGTGTGTTGCTGAAGTTAGTGTTCCTGTTTGCTGATTACAAGTGACTTCAAGTGTTTCTTTAACAAAATAATTTGTATATGCTATTATACTCACTGCCACAAAAGGAAATTCTAATTTTCAAAATAATCCTAGAATCAGATAAGGTGTAGGTGAGTTTTGTTTGCTTGTTTTGTTTTTGTTTTTAATAAAGGTATTACAGCAGTGATTTGTACTTACCCTCTTGATATGGTTAGAGTTCGTCTGGCGTTCCAAGTAAAAGGGGAACACAAGTACATGGGAATTATCCATGCATTCAAGATGATTTACACAAAGGTATTTTTTCTTTTAATCTTCAGTCCTGTCAAAGCAAAATATGCTCTTTAAAGAATGTTGCACTGCGTTGAAAATAGTGGCTTGGTGGAAAATAACATGACTTCATTGTGTGCACATTGGCTTTTTTTAATGTAAAAAAAATATCTGGATGCTTTCTTCTACTTAGGGTGCTAAGATATAGCTAAGACTCATTTAAGTGGGAGGTCAAAAACAGCAGAGAGAAGTCGCTTTTCAAGAACAAGTAGTAATGATGTAAAAAAAATTGGGGAGGAGGGATATGTATAATGTAGAAATGTCTCCTAGAATATGGTGGTGGATGTAGATTTTTCTCCTTTTCACTTCTTTATCTCCTATGGAGCCAGGCAGTTGTCCCCTCAATTATTCAGGCACAAGAAATGGAACTTGATGTTAGCTCCTTGGTGCTAGATGATGCTAGTCAGATTGCTGTCATGTGAATCTGTATGAACAGTTGTATAACTTGTTAAGACATTTGTTGTATTTCTTGCCACAAATGTACTTGTGTTTTTCTTTCAAAGGAAGGTGGTTTTAGTGGGTTCTACAGAGGGCTGATGCCAACTGTTGTAGGAATGGCGCCATATGCGGGTAAGTTAAAAACAGAACGTGGCGGTCCTTCAGCAGTTATGTGCGCTACTGAATTTACATAGTATATTTGCACACCCTAGTTAATTAGCTTCTGTTAAAATCAAGGATTCTGTTTTTTACTGACTGGAGAGGGGAAGCCTGTAGAAGCATTTGCAACTCTTCAATCTTAATCTAGAATTAATCAGTGTGTGTTAAAGCATACTCAACAGGCAAAGTCTAGCTTTTCTGAAACTTGGAGTTGAGAGGGAGAGAGGTAAAGTAGTGGCTCTTTCTCTTCTGCTTCCCAGTTTTCCCACAAGAAAGCATGTATGAGATTTCTCTCAAACAGGTAGATCCATGAAAGAGCAGAGCACTCCAGAGATGGAGACTTAGAGCCTCTGTATTGGCTCCATCTCCTGGTCACTTTTATGTACATACTTGCACAAGCTAAAGCAGTGGGTGATGTGGGATGGAGGAACATCAGAACTGCCCGGCTAAACTACACTAATGTTTAAAAGATGAGAGCCATTTCTTCAGTTAAAAAGATCTCAGGAAGTACTCTTAATAGCAAGCCAGTAATTTAAACCCCACAGTCTAGCTTATTTAAAGCATTCTTTTAATGTTAATTATAAACACTAATTCATTTGGACAGAAGTTACTGTAGAAGTTCAAAATATTATTTGTCTATTTCTTTCTGCTTAAGAAAAACTTCTAAAAGATTTGGAAAATAGTTTCATTTTGTAATTGCAGCTTTTTGTTTATGATGATGATGCATCAACAAATAGTTTGCTTTTTTATGAAAGTACATAAAATTAAATTTCCTTTTAGGTTTTTCATTTTTTACCTTTGGTACCTTAAAGAGCATTGGACTTGCTCAAGCACCTAACTTGCTTGGACGGCCTTCATTAGATAATCCCGATGTCTTAGTTTTGAAAACACATGTAAATCTGCTGTGTGGTGGCATAGCTGGAGCAATAGCTCAGACGATATCGTAAGTTTGGGTATTGTGTTTTTTTTTTTGTTTTTTTTTTTTTTTTTCTCTATAGCTGTTCATTCTAAAGAAACTTTTATCTGAGAATATGATTTTATGTAAGTCTAGTTATTAGTAAGGTTTTAAAATCGGGTTAATCAGACACTGGAATTCAGTTATTCCCTATTGTTTCATTTACTAAATATCTATTTAATCTTCAGGGTCTTTAAAGATATATGCATTGAGTTAATTAAACAAATTCAGACAAATCTCCTAAAATCAGTTGGAATCTTGTTTCGTAAGCTATGAAATTTTGACCATGAACATAATTTGCAGAATTTTATTATTCCAATTTATTTTCAAAACAATGTAACCTGTGAAGCCATAGAATTACAAAAAAACAACACTCCCCCTCCAAGTCTTAGATATTGTATTTGGCGTTGATTTTTTTATTATTTTGCCTGCTTTCTCATTCTCATGCTGCCCTTGTCATATTTTATGTTGTCCATAAAATAAAATAATTTAATGGACTTATATGGCATCAATTTTTCACTAAATCACTGCATTACAAATGTCATTTTCTATTAATCCTTAAACTGTTAATTTTATTTTTGATTTAGGTGTCTTCTCCCTCCAGCGTTTTACAGACTGTTTTATACTCTCATCTGATCTTCATGTGTCTTCCTTACTCGTGCCAAATGGAATATATTAAGAGATCTGATTTGCTGGTTTTGGTTGTATAGGGGAAGTCTCCCTTTCTGGAGAACTTTCAGCTGTGTTGAGAATCTGAGCCGGATTCCTGACTCACTGAAAAGGGAGCTTGGAGGTTGCACATGGACATCTTTGTATTCTTTTTTTAAACAATATTCATATAGTCATCACACATCTGGTTGAACTGCTGTTCAAATATCTCCTCTGTAGATATCCCCTTGATGTAACTCGTAGGCGAATGCAGTTAGGAGCGGTTCTCCCAGACTCTGAAAAGTGCCTGTAAGTATTTTCTTTTCATTTGTAGTGACTGAATTCTTAGATGTCTGAGCAAAGTTAAATTCTTAGTCTTAAAGTTTTAAAAAAAACCAGAACACCCCACCACCAAACTATTATGTTGTTGATTTCTTCATTCTTTTAATGAGTAAGTTTCCACACAGACAAAACCTGCCATTACACTCTGGCGTTAAAAAAACATAACTGAAATCACAATGGCACTTTTGTTAGTAATACTGTGTTTGTATTAGTAACATATTTTTTTGTATTTTAACTCAACTTGCCATGTATTTCTTTAATATCAGCAGGATCCTTAAGAGACAGACTGCATGCTTCTACTGAAATGAGATGTTTCAAAGTGTTTTTTAATGGTGCAGAATCTCTTCCATAAGATGATTTTGCATAATACTGTTTTATTTGACCTTTCTTGCATTTACGGTAATGTCGCACACCCCACATGTAGTTGGGGTTCCTCCAGTAGAAATGGAAGTACCATAATATCCTTAAAATCATAGTATTAAATCAGCTCTCATCTTAAAAAACTTCCTGAATTTCAAATTGTCTGAACCAAATTCAATTCCAGGACAGTTTTATCTTGGCTACTTTCAATCTTGTGGAATTGTATATGTTTGAATCCAGTGATTTAGTGTGAACCTCCTGCGTGGTGAATTGGATCTTACTAACAGCAGTCTGTCTTAGTGACCTTTCATAAACAACATAGATGTTGCTTACTGTGAAAGTTGCTGTTCTGTTTTCCTTAGCAGCCTTAATGTTTTTTTTTTGCTTGGCTATTTTCTGCTCCAGATACTTTTAAAATAAAAATGTGTTGATTGTTCTTGGGGTTTTATATTCTACATTTGTGAGAACTACTTCTACAGACATTAGGCTTCCCAATTTAAAAATATTATTGTGACCATGTTTGGAGAGAGCTGTGCCTTGAAGGAGAGTCGACATATATGTCTTTAGAGGATGAGAGGATAAAAGCTCTGAAGCACATGGAAGATGTTCTTAAAGAGCAGTGTCTTTAATAGTGTGGAAATACTGAGCACCTTACAGATATTTACATTGTTTTGCATTTAACATCCATTTGCTCAGTTTCATTATAAGTATGTGAAGAAAATCATTCTCCTTGCCTATACACTGCAAATTCTGCTTTTAATAAGGTCAAATATTATATACTTAACAAATTTTAGCATTTCTCTAATAGAGAAAATACTAGGTCTTTGTCATGGTGGAGGAAGCTATACTCATGCAAGATGTCAAATACAGAGCTAAACATAAATTTTATATGCGGAGCTTTAGAAGGACGGGTAGTATGATCGAGTGCTTAAAGAAAGAGAATGGGATACAAGCCTAAATACTGATCTTTAATGCAAAAAGTGTGTGCTAAGTTGGGCAAATTATGTTTCTGTTACTCTGTATTACATTTGTAAGAAGAATTGATGCTTCTCAACTCCTTCCTGCCAGAATGGCTATGCATATTCTCTTGCCTTTCTGGTGTAAAATGTCTTAATATGTCTTTTAGGGCAGGTGTTTTCAGACTGAAACTTTTTTAGATGGGATTGGATTGCACTGTCTTCTTCCCAATTCCCAGCCATTGTGCCCAAATTTCTTGCAGAAACTCAGACTGTCTTCTGAGTCCTAAAAAGACTATAAAGCTTTGTTATATGGACCAAGTAAAGCAAGTGTCTTGTATTTAAAGAAAGTGATTTTGACTGTTGAGTATGTGTATCCAATAATGATTTGAGTTCTTATTTTTTCCAGTACAATGGTGCAGACACTGAAATATGTATACCAACAACATGGAATACGAAGAGGATTATACCGTGGTTTATCTCTAAATTATATTCGTTGTATTCCTTCCCAGGCTGTGGCTTTTACCACATACGAACTTATGAAACAATTCTTGCACCTCAACTAATTTTTTTTTTTTAGAAGACTTTCCTGTAAAACTACACTATCAGTCCTCAAATTCTATTGGTGAGTAAATTACTTGAAGTTTAAAAAAAAGCTATCTGTTACTGTGGAACTGCTGCTGTCTGACATTTTTATTTGCCAAAACGTGGTTTATTTCCTGGAGTCAAACCAGGAGACAGATCAAAATAAACATTAGTTAGCTATAAACATTTTTTTTGCACTTGAGCTTCTAGGCTTCATTAGATTAATGTTAAGAATTACACAGTTTTAAAATTACACCCACATTTTATACGGGTTTCAAGCTGTTAGTTATTTAGCTTTATCACCATTCCAGGAGTTACACGCATGGTTATACTGCTTTTTAAGCTAGTAGTTAGACATCTGTTCTTCTTTACAAATTAAATTGAATAAACTGATTTGAACAAAATGCAATGATTTTCATATTCAAATACTTGCCAGCTCTGTAGAAGCTGAACTCATCAGACTACAGCTTAAGCATCTTTTCATTCTTTTTTTGCATAAGTTTTCTGTATGCAAGAACAATGCGTATATCTTCAGATTGGTACATATGAAAGTCTCTTCAACCACTTCAATAAAAAATGACAGGATATATTTAATATTATTAGAAATCTTGCAATTTGGAAACCAGTTTCTTGGCATACATTCTATTCTAAAAAAAGCTGTCATCTACACAAATAAAACCAGGGGGAACTTTTACAGTGAGAAGTGCTAGAAAAGATCTCCTTAAGGCAGTTAGCATGGGCCAATTCTTACAAGGCATTTCTGTACCTTTTCTGTGGAGCTGAATGTTCTCGATTCAGTTTATTGAAGGCTGAGTATTTTATGTACTTTCCAGTACTAGCTTGTGTAAAAAAGTTTGTCCCTACCTTAAAACATGGTGACAAACGACTGCATGCTGCTGCATTTACTTATTTAGGCATATGGACCATATTCAACCTCTCGCGCAAGAAAAGAAAATGAAGATTGTATTGGAGTCTGTAGATGTATATATGTACTGTTTCTAAAGTATGGTATGCAATAGGCTATTACATGTTTTCTTCCTCCTGCAATTCCTTTTGTAGAGGGAATTATTTTCCAGACTTGTTTATACATGATTTGCATTGGTACTCTTGATTTTACTCACTTGATTCAGGAAACTGTAAAGCATTTACTTTACATGATGTAAGTTATTTATTTAATGTAAATATTTTAGCAGTGTCTTTTAGAGAATTGGTAATGGTTATGTTAAGTGATGGATGATAAGATCCATTTGCTTAATTTTGACAAAGTTGACAAACTGGATTTTGAGTTATGTATTCAGTACCAACTTTTGTGGCTCTTTTTTTTTTTTCTTTTCAGTTTCTTAAAAATATGTATTTCTTCGATATTTAACAATGTAGCTATGGACAGAGAATGAGATGTATTTGAATTTATTTTATTAAAAATTTTGAACTAATGTCTTTGCGTGATTTGTATGTGTTGCAGCCAGAAAGAATGCATGTCTCTGGAATTATCTGTATGCTTGTCCTTCTACATAAATCTGCATAACATTGTCACTCTTAATTAAGAGACAACAAATAAGATTCTTCATCTGTTCTTTAGTTTCACTTAAAGGAAAACTAACCAATATCACAGTGAATTTTTATCTTCTAAGGTCCTTGCAATAGAGCTAAATCCACCTTATAAAAGAAAAAAAAAAAAGGGATGTGCCATTTTTCGTTCTTGTATTGTTTTACTGTGTGAGCAAATAAGCATCTTCTCAGGTGCCAGTTCTTTGCCGTGTTAATACTGATAAGGATGTTTAAATTTAGAGTTTTGAATCTTAATTTTACTAAAAGTGATATATTTAAGGAACTCGTAGATTTGAGCTGTGTCATGAAAATTTAAGCAGTTCTTATGCAGAATAAAGCAGAATCCAGCATATTCTCTTGAGAGGAAAACAGCAGTAAAAAGTGCCCCCTAAATAACTGAGTAGGATATTGAATGTGAAAAATAGACCTACTGGATGAAACTGTGCTGCATTTTCAGGATTAGTTTTTCAAAATAAAATTTAAAAGTGTATGAGCAATATTAAATTTGGAAGTATTTTAATACTTTTGAGCAAGGTCTATGAAAGAAAAATAGTTTTGTCCAGGGGCTAGATGGGAGGAGACTGGAGTTTCTAATTTTTTTTTTAGTAGCTATTTCTAACTCTTTCTGGAAAGCTTATTCAGGTATTTCTTATTCAGTTAGAACATAGAATTTATTTAGAATATCTGACTGCTGCAATGGAAACATGGGACTTAATTGTAAATCCTGTTTCTCCAGTGACAGCCCTATGAAAACTGGGTTTATTTTCATTTTGAACTACTGAGGAATTTATTCCCTTGTTTTTTCTTCAGTATACTTTCTTTTCAGTATTTTCAGTGTACTGAACAAGCAACATCTAATTTTAGCCAGTAAAAAGTATCAGGATTAGGCCCCAGCCAAGCTCATTCCTGTGCCTTAATCACATACTTTCCAATTTTTTTTTTGTTTACTTTTTCAGCAAATGGAAGGGGCCTGAATATCTGGTTTTGTCTTTATTTCGTAAAAATTCATATCATAATAATCTCGTAACTAATAGTTCTATCCAGTGAAGTAATTACTTTTGTGAAGAACTGGTTATGTAGCCTTGGATAATATGTTTAAACTCTGTTAGACCCACCTATTTCCAATACTCTTTGACATAGAAAAGAAGGCCTCACCTTTTTAGGACTCTTTCAGGTGAGACAGCCTCATACAGGCTTATCTGTGATATGTCTTGAAAATCTCAGTCTTGGGGGGGGTTGTTTCCAGTGATTAAATATTGTGTCTTTAAAATAAACTCCGTATTTCATCTCTACATTCTTACATTTGAAAACTTTGCCTGCTGTAACTAAGGCATTTAAGTATGACCAATATTGTATTTGCAGTCATTACACAGAAAAGTCTCATGTATTTGAACCATTTTTTTACACTGATTAATTCCAATGTCGCTTTTTATTTATTTTGTTATTAATATTTTCCAGATGTCTTTTGTTGCTCATTTAAATGAGCTGAGACCTTAAGGTGGACAAATTCTATTGACACTCTTCAAATTCTTCTCCTCCTTTCCTGAAAAAGGGGCATGCAAGGCACTTGTAATGAGTCGTCTTTTATGTTTGCAGCTCAAAACAACTATATTTGTTCAATTTAAACAGGTATACAAGGAAAGATCTCTGTATTTGGTCCTTAACTGTGTCTTTATTCTGTGCAGTTAGCGTGAGTGAGTCTGTTCAACTTAGAGATCTCTGCTTTGGTGACATGAGTGACATGCTGCCCCCTGAGCAGCCTGAGTGGATCCCAGGATGCTTTGTGCTGGTCTGAGTTAGGTTTCCCATCCTCTCACTCTCCTTTACACTCCCATTGGTAGGATCTGACCTGTTCTTTTACCATGGTGCTAGCACAGTTGCATAGTAAATCAGTTCAGGAAGCTGATGGCTTTTCTTGCAGCTAATTTTTACTGGTTTATTCTGCTGTTTAACTGTACCTTTGGGTGCTGTTTGACATTTTGCCTCATCCAGGGTAGAGAGGCTAGATACCATGTTGCTTCCACTGATGTGGTGAAAGGTTCAACCCACCAAAAGAAATGAATGGATTTTATTGGCATCCCCTTACTGAACCAGCTCACACTGTGGCCACACACTTGCTAGATGTGATGCAAGGTAAATTTCATCTCAGATTTAGCTTTAGGAATAAACTTGCTAACTGGGGTGGCAGCAGGCCAAGTATATATTACTGAGTCAGTTGCTGGGGAAGAAGCAGCTGTGGGTTCCCCTCATAGATTTCTCTGATTAAATCTGTGGCCTAAAAAATGGTGGCATATAAAGCATGTTAACTCTAAGTATAGATAGCTAACTCTCTGTGTGTCACAGGATTGGAAGGAACAAATTTTATTTTCTTGTGATAAATTTTTGACAATAAATTCCTGATTTTACACAGTTAAAACTTGATGGGGAACGCTGATGTGTCTTAAAATTGTAGGAACATTTTTCTCAGCAGCTGATGCCGGAAAGAATTAAAAGAGCCATAGTCTGAACACTTTAGTGCAGCTTTTGGTACCAAAGTAAGGTTTGGTATTTTTCTGGATTTCACAGACTCTGTAGAGATTCCCCAGACAGCCTGGATTTTAGCTAACATCAAAAAAATATTTAAAGCATATTTTGTACTTTTATAACCATATTCTGTTAGGATACTTCTTTTTTAGCACGAGAGGTGTATAGGCAACATGAAAGAGACTACAGGACATGAGATTATCAAGTGTACAAAGTAAAAGTATTTATGTAATCTCTTTAATACCATACCAAATTAGATGATTGCATTTAATAGTATTGACAAATAACTATTAAATTACAAGTAAGCTTATATTAGGGGTTCTGCAATGGAGAGCGACATTGATGAAGTTTACTGCATGTATTTCAGGACTATCCCAAAGAAAACTAAAGGGGCTAATTTAAGTATGTTCTCACCTTTCAAAATTCAAGCTTTGATCCTTCTGTTGGGATGCCTAACCATAGGTCAAAACTGTCGTCTTTTCAGGACTAGAGCCTCATACCGTTTCCTAATGTTTGGCTACATTAAAGAGATACAAGACCAAACTCTTAATACATCATTTCCCTGACATTTAAACTACAGAACAGTCATACTGAATATTAAGAATAGATGTAATACCTGTGTCCTTCAATCTTTGCTAGAAGTGATGGTCTCAGATCCAGAATGCTTTGCTGAAGTAGTGGGTTTGTGGCCAAAAAAAAGGCAAAGAAAGGAAATCTGTGTATCTGAAACTTCTGTGTCACCTCAGAAAGCCTCTCTTGGTCAGTGAACAGCACTGAATGTAACAAGTTCTCGTCAGAGAAAAAGTTCGACTCTCAGGCAGGGATTCACCCATAAGCAGTTGGGAGCGAAAGGCACATCTAATTTTACCTCACGCTGCTGCACAGGTATCAGAGGAGGGGCCGCGGTTGTATCAGCAATTGACTGTGTGGAAATAAACGACAGGTAGGGCTGAGGACGACCCTCTCCAGCCCAGCGGTGACCGCCACAGGAGACCGACCGTTAGGTTCTCTCACGGCGCGCGCGCCACTTCGCGCCTTGAACGCCCCTGCCCGCCCACGGAAAGCGCGCGCCCCACCGGAGAACCGCCCTCCCGGCACCTCCCATTGGCTGCGCTAGCTCTCTCCCCGCCAGTGGCCGAGCTGGGAGGGGCGAGGGGCGGGGCTTTCCCGGAGGCGGCCGAGGGAATGCGGCTGTACTGCGCCTGCGCCCTGGCGGGATGGAGCCGACTTGTGGGGCGCGGGGCTGAGGCGAGCCGCGTTCGCCCGGCGGTTCGCGTTGAGCAGGGGCGCGGGCTGGGCCGTGGAGCTTGAGGCGGGGGGGGAACGAGCTGTGCGCGGCAGAGGACCTGCTCATGGCGGAGAGGTAGCGGCCGAGGGGGGAAGAGCGAGTGGGCGGTGACGGCCGCGAGCGCGGGGGGTTTGAAATTTAAAGCGGGGCGCGTGGGCTGTGTGGAGCGTCCGCTCCCGCGCGTCCCTCTCTCATCCTCCCCCGGCTGCGGGAAGGCGGGAAGGATGAGGGCCGCCGGAGCGGGGATGGGGGAGAGGTAGGGAAGCGCTCGGGACTGCCCGGAACGATCGGTGAGGGGAACCGGCCGCTGCTTAGCGAGGAACTGGTATTTGGGCAGGGCGGGCTACGGCGCCCGGTGCGAGCTCTGTGGGTGCCTGCGCCCTGGAGCTCTAGCAGGCATCGTTCGGTGTCAGGAGAGTGGCTGGCCTGACTGCTCTGTCTGAAATTTTGGCCATTGCCGGGGTGAAAACTGAACCTTGAATATTAGTTTTCCAGTTACCTTGATGTTGAGGTTACGGCGGGGGGGGGGCGGGGAGGGAAGTTAGTTCTTGGTTTGATGCAGCTGGGCGATTGTGGGAATTCTTAGGTGCTTTACAGAGCTCAAAGAGATACAAGCTTTCTCACATGTACAGGGTTGCAGAACAGTTAGAATAACTTCTAAATGAGTACAACTGTATGAGCACCAAAAGAAAGCACTAGCTGCAATAAATAGCAACTTACTTAATATTTATGTGTCTTTGCTTATGTCTTGTATGTCCAAATCCTTGTTTTTCATCCCTGTCATCCAAAGAGACATTGGAATGTGGAAACATTACCAGAGAGATTTCCTACACTCTACCTGTCTAGAACTGAAAAACCACACTACATATATATAAAGATGGAAGAGCGTTAAAGCTGGGTTTATACTCGAAGCTTTCCCTCCTCTTGTATATGGGTTGGCTGTTTGCTT